ATATTCACAAGCTGAGCTTGGAGAAGGTAGAAAGAACAAAGGTGAAGGACCTGTTCAGGGAAAGGATGCAGCAGTTTGATACTTCTGTTCCATGTGGCTTCTGTTCCACGTGCCCTGACAGGCAGCACAGATGCAGATCTGAACAAAGCACAGCTTGTGGGCAGGTGACACAGGAGGGAGACAGAATTTTACTGCAAAATGGCATAATCAAGGAGAAGTTAAAATACCACTAAGTCATTTATGAATTAATTTCCATAAATGCATCATAATATCCAGAATACAGTAAGTCTCATATGCTAGAGACCTACTGTAAAAGTGATTTTCTTTAGTAGAGATGCTGCTATTACTCAAGTACTTTCTCTTGACATTTACCTTCATGACAACATCAACAATGCAATCCTACATCAGCTAGTCAAAAACTACAAAATTTTCCACTAAACTGCATGAATTAATACACACAGCAGAACTGAATAAACATTTAAGTTCATAGTAAGGCAGGTCTGTAGGCCCTGGGACAATAATTGTTATACAGGTATCTTTAAGAGTTCATCTTATTAACAAAAAATATTAGAATAAATAGAAGTAATTCACTGTGCTGGCCAAACTTGTTATACTCATTTTTTATTCATTAACTTTTTCTAGTAAGTTGCTCTTTTGTACTGAAATATGACAATAAAACAGTTTTCTAGCACTTAGGAAAGCCCTGAAGGAGGAGGCTGAGGCCTTTCTTTTCCCCCAAACCTTTATTATGTTGAGCTATAATTGGTAACTTCAGGGCACATGGGTTTTCTCTGACAGAAAAGAAAAATGTACTTTAGCACAATTCACATTTCTAGAAGAGAAAAATATGTACTGTTTCTTTAAAATCTTTTCAGCCTTACTTATGTCTAACAGAAGGCTTTTTTCTGCTCTTTGCTGATGCATTTCCTCATAAACTGAATTATGTCATAGTTCTATGGCTTTACTTATATACAGGTCAAATTGAAAACTGATGCTGTATTCCACCATCAGTTAATTTAATACAGCAAAGGCTTTCATCTTCAGTAAGGATGCAAAATCCTTTTCTTCTTCAATGCATGCAATTAACAATTTGAATTTTACAAGCAAGGGAGGAAAGAAAATCCCAAGCCAGGAGAACATTGCAGTGAGAGCCTCCCTTTTTCTGTAATATTCTTTTTTTGAGCTTCACTTTTTTCAACATGGAATTTAATTGGAAATACATACCCATCTGGTGGCCTGAAATTCTTCCATCTCTCTGCAACCTATACATTGATTATACCTTCCTGAAATCATGCAGGAAGAAACTCAAACTTTTATGTTCCATGTTTCAAAAAAGGTATCCAGACTGTAAGAGGACTAAGTCTCCCAAGTGTCCATTTGCATTGAGGAAGCCTGCGCAGAATGTGCAATTTCTTGTCAAACTATAAAAACTAAATCAGAAATGTGCAAGCAAAAGATTCTAACAGGTATGTAGGCAAACCCTGTCCTCCTTGCAGAATACTAATGCATCAACTAACATTGTAAACTACAGAATAAGAAGGGCAGACTTACTTCAGAGTGGAAGAGGCTTTATTGAAATTGTCACCTTCCATTTTCCTGAGCTCAGTACATGCTGCTTCCCATGTTCTGCCAGAGTGGTCTCATAGCTGTGCACACCTGAACTTTCCAATTATGGCTGCAGCTAGAAGTGTCCATAATCCTGACCAGAACCTCAGTGACCTCTGCTCTATTTTGTTCATAAATTCCCTGTAAAGAGGCTCAAAAGTGCAAAAAATTGGAAGCATGAAATATTACTTTCATCATTTACCCAGATTTTGATACAGCCATGGTTTGGTGTTTCTGACTTTTCATTCATATTTTACTTAATTATTTTTTCTACTTTTTTTTGGTTTTCCATTCTGTTTCTTGATGAGATATCTGAAATTCAGTTAATCAGCATGAAATCTATTTTTCCTCGGCTAAGACAAAACTTTCCACTACCCTTTGTATCTGTGAAATTCTATGATCTCAACTTAAAGAAAAATTATACTCTATTCCCTATGGGATGCTAATAATTGCTTGCCAAACTAAAAAACAAAAGGGAGAGAGAAGGGATGAAATTTTGGTTCCATCAGGGGTTGTGTTTACACAGGTTGTGTACCTTTCAAACATACAAAGGTACACACCCCACCAGAGCTCCCTTCTTTATGCCATACATGACTCATGCTCTCTGGAAGAACTGTTACACATCCTACTAAGGTCTCAAAAATAGAAAAGCAAAGGGCCTGAAGACAATTTTTTAGTGCAGTTCATCAAAGCAATAAGTTATTTCCCAGCTGGATAACACCAGCTGGATAACACTTGGCTAGCCTTAGCAGAACCTCTCATTCTTCAGTCATTTAAGCTTACAGGGAAAAACATTTTCTTTGTAGAAATAAGCTTATGATCTCTGCTGGAATGAACTCTGGCCCTGGCCATCCTTCCAAAAAACTACTATTTTATCTTTCTTTTTTTTTTTAAGCCAGCAGGAGCTGAGCAGATGGTTTAAAAAATTGCATTTTAATTTCTGTCTATGTGCACACATCTCTACTTACACATTCCATGCTCACATATATTGTGGGAGGCTAAAAACATTGATCCACTGCAATTCCAGTTATCCTGAGTCTAGGCCTGGGACTTGGATCTCTGAGCTGGACTTAAGTAACTACAGATAAAAGCAGACCTGCATCTCCCAAGAATTCACAACTCAAAATCATCATTGTTTCACACTGGCTGTTATTCCAGTAGAAGCATAAACTCAGGACTGTGGATCCTTCTGCATGTGAAAAGACAAACAGGATTTTCCAGTTAGAAGGTTTGCTTGAAACTATTTTACCCATTTTGCTACTCAGCAAACCCCAATTATTATATGTCCTTTTAAGTGAGTTTTCTCATATAGCATACTATGAAACTGTTGAGCAGTTGTACCATTTTTTCATCCATCTTTTCACTAATTTCCCCACTCATCCTGATTTCAGAGCAGTGTCATTGGTTTCAGGCATTTTAACCAATTTTCAAGACATCGTGTTTAAACATCTCATCACTTAATCACTGCTACTGCAATTAAATTAGCATTTAATTGCCACAGCATTAAATTAGTAACTCATATCTTAATATTACCATTTAAATATTTTGGTTTTTAAAATACTAACATCTTTATGCAGCTGGCTGTTTCTTTTGTCAATTTTTCCTGTATATGCTCTATTTTCTAATCCTCACTTCCTTCCTAGCATTTTCAAATATGAAACCTAAATTAACTCTTAAATTTTATTGATGGATAAAGCTCATTGAAAATCTAATAAAGCTCAAAGGTAAATAATTTTTATTTTTATTTGCTGTATCAAACACTCACAGTATTTACAGTACTCTGTTTTTTAGTGTATTTCAAGCACCACTGCAACAGCAAATATTCTCATTAGAAAGGCCATAGCACACACTGGAGCACTGTTTTGTTTAAGCTGGTGTGACAGTGATGCATCTGAATCCTCAGTATTCCACTCTCTTGTATTATTGCAAAATGTCATAGTTAAATTAGACTTTGTTTTATTAAAAAAAAATACACTTATCCCTATTTTCTAAGGAGCTCAGTGTGAATATTTTTTGCTGTGTGAACGGCAATTGTGCAATTTCTACTATGACATCTAGAGGCTGCTGCTTATTTTCTGTGGTTTCTTGTATGGGCAAGATTTTTGTGGTTTCTTCTGTGAAGAATCTGGATTGCTAATGAAAAGCCACAGGAATTAGATTTCTCAGGGTGAGAGTTCAGCACAATTCTGCCAAGCAGCACTTCATTTAGAGCATCAATAGCAAGAAACATTCCAAAGGGGAAATCAAACTGTGGCCAAGTTGGATGTGAAACTTAACAACATGCACCAAAAATAAAGTGTAAGGATCTCTAAAGTAAAGGTATGCAATTTATATTCCTTTCTGAATATGTCATAAGCAGGTGATCTTAAAAAGAATCCTGAAGGACACAAAAAATTTCTTAAAGCAGCAGAAAAAAATAACGGCATTGCAAACAGTTGAAGAGATTTTTTTGTATATTCACAAAAAATACATAAAACTACAGTGGTGGAGAGTAGGAATGATTCCAAACCAGAACACTGTGGAATTTATTGGTGGAGTTTCAAGCTGTTGTGTTGATTACAGACAGCCCAGGACAGCGTAACAAAATAGAAAGGAACAGGTTGCACAGAATGAAAATTCCCTTTGAAACTTCCCTTTGGAGGGAAATTGCTAAGTTCTACAAGCCCAGGGTAAAATGCTATTCAACATCCTAAAGAAGGAAGTAAATGTTGTGATCATATACTTTCCTGATCCTACTAACCTACCTGTGCAGTGAAAGGATGATGGGGAGATAAAATGATGTTAGATGAAGCTTAATAAAGGAAAACTCAAAAGTGACACATACCAAGAACCACCCTCCCCTTCCCCCCAATTTTAAGTATATATTTTGGGAGATCTGAACTAGTTGATACAACTGAAGAAAAAAATATATTTGAGATATTTTGAGATACTCTAGAGTTCTATAAAATACCTCTCAGTGGTAAACAATGGCCAAAACCCCCAATGTTAGAATTCTCTAGAAACACACATGTATTTGCATTATGGAAAATAGGAATTAACCAGAAAATATCATTATTACACAATCTTCTGACCCCCTCATCTCATAAAGGTTATATAGTCAAAATTTTTAAAGTACAGAAGCCATTAAAAAGGACTGAGAAACCTGTATAACTTCTACTGAGGAAAAACTGGACAAACTTCGAATTCTTCTTTCTATAAAAAGGGAAAATTAAATGGTCATGTCACAGCAGTCTAACACAACTTTAAACATATGAGGAACAGCTATCCACCTTTTAAAAACATTTTCATAAAAAGATTAACAAGAAGCAAGTGAAGCTCAAAGATGCCAAGTTCAAAAAACAAACAAACACAAGGTGAGTCTGCAGAAATACTTTTTGGCTGGTACATTTATTTACCTGGGTTCAAAAAGCAAAGGGTTTTTATCACCATTAATGACTGCAGTAACAACCAGCTGTTATAGCTCTGGAAGTCCTTGAGACAGTTTGCTGGAAAGAAGTATTCCTCCATCCTGGAGAAGATGATGGTTTAGCTGGATATTTATTCTGATAAATTTCTTAGTCCCTCTTTAGGGAAAGGAATGGAAGAAGAGGAACCATACCCAGAAATTCAAACTCATTTGCTTACACCAATTACAATAATTTCCAAGGTTTAACTATGCACTTTGCATTACATCACTATCAGTGAGAGACAGAAAAGAATTACATCTCATTTACATATATAATTAGATAGTTCATGTGTCAATGAACAAAAAAAAAGATCCCAATCCAATTTCTACAATCATATCAAAAAACGCTACTCCTCTTTATTCAGTGTTTTGAATCAGGCAGCAAGATTTTATCAGAGTGATCCCACAGGGCACTACTTCAGCTGAGCAAACAGACCTGTTTAAACAGTCCCCTTTCAAGAAAGGCTGCCTTCAAGCACCTTTAAAATCCTCCTACTAATGTCTCAAGAACCATGCATTCTTCATTATCTTCACTCTTCACAGAGATAAGGATAATTCATTTGAGTTTACCTCAGCCCTCAGTTTTTCTTAAGCATCTTTCCTCCTTTGCTTGGTGGAGGCATCTTCAACCTGTTTCACCACAAAGTTCATTACCAAACATTACCATTATTGCTGAGACAAATAACAATCAGTGGACTCCAAGCCAACATCATCAGGATGTTTTTACCTCAGATTTATGTCCCATATTTTGGCAAATTACAGTTTGAGATCTGTTTTCATAAATGGGCCCTATTTTTATTTAAAGTTCACAACATAGAGGTCTTGGATTTTTAGCTGAGTCTCTCATCTGACTCATTTTTTCTCCTCTTTCAGATATGCTGACTCCCAGGGTTAAGTCTTCCAACCCTTTTTGCAGTCCTTTCAATTCAGCTCTTTGTCTTCTGGATTTCATTTTCTTGTTAGCTCCACCATCCATTTCCCTTATGCAGTTACTTTCCTACATTGCTTCTCCATATTTTCTTCCCCTGTGTTGTGCTCACCCATTTTCAGATGCCAATGAGAGGCTCTTCAATTGCTAAGTCAATACTTCACCATGAAGACAGCGAGTACACAGGTTTCATGAAACCTGCACAAGCTGAGATTTTTCTCCTTGACTTTGGTGCACACCTGCTTTTTCACCCCTCTTCTGTCACACCTGTGAATTGTCCCCACTCTCCTTCAGCAGCACATTACATGAAACCTCCTCCATTATTTCCAAAGCATCAGGGTGTATGTAGGAATACTTTTCCCCTGTTTTTCACACTAAATCTAACACAGATTCTGTTTCAGTGCCTTGCCTCAGTGCAATAATCACCTCCATGACTACTGAACTCTTTTCTTCTTATTCCCACTGACCAACTTGACCACTTCTTCCTTTTTTCTTGCATTTCTGTCTGGCTGAGCTTTTTGCTTTTAGAGAATCCAAAACAAAAAACCCAAAATCAAACCACAAACGAACACAACATTTTCTGCCTAGGTCATCTTCCTTCCCTCCCAGAGAAGTGCATCTCTTGTGGTCTCTGGGAGGCAGCATTCCCCTCTGGCCAAGCTGCATAAAGCAGCACTAAAGTTAAAATTCAGATTTCTTTCCAGAAGTTGATTCCTATAGACATGAATAATGTAAATATTACAGCTAAGCCTGAGACACAAGAGTCAAATAATCTACTACTGAATCTACTAGTCCTATCAGAACAACAGTAATGTTTAAAAATTATTACAATGTTTTCCTTTTCGTAGAACAGATCTGTCTGTCCTTTAGTTTGAAAGCAGTGTTTGAACAGGGCAGGGAACAGATAAAAACAATAAAACATGGGATTGCTCAACTGAAAATTTTAATGTGTCTACATACTTCTGTATAATTCTGGTTGATTTATCCAGATCATCACCGGGTGGTTGTATTAAACTGTGCATAAAACTCCTCTGTTGGAATATTTGAATACTCTTCCTCTTTAAGATAAATGTTCCTAGAAATAAAAATTTTTAAAAGCTATTAGTAATTTTTGTTATTATTCAGAAGTAGCCTGAGAAGTCTAAAAAAGATATAATGCAGTAACACCCATAAATGTTCATAAATTATTATAAATGGAATTTAATGTAACTAAAACTTGTTCTGCAAAATTTATGCCACATCTCAATATAGAAAAATTGGTTTTTTGGTTCCTGAAATATCCTTCCAGAAATCTCAAGAGTAAAAATCCTGAATTAACACAATCCCAAACTTTTGTTTTCATAACAAGAAGGCATCATGTACTGGAAATGAAATTCATTTGCAAAAGGTATATATGAACCTGAGACTGACTCAGTTGGTCAGAGCATGGTGCTAATAATGCAAAGGTCAAGGGTTCATTTCCCATATGGGACATTCATTTAAGAGCTGGACTTGATGATCATTTTAGGTCCCTTCCAACTCTGACTATTATGTGCTTCTGTATTCATGCACAAAAAAAAAAAAAATCCAAAAAACAAAACTAGAAAAATAAAACACCAAATCATTATGTTTGTTTTTCTTGTCCTGCATGTATTATCTTTCTCCTTTCCCATAAGAGCAGACACAAGAACTGCCCTCCAAGACACATCCAGTGGTTAGTTAAAAAATCATCTAGTTCTGTCATACATAATGGAAATGCTGTTTGTGTTGCTAGCTTAACCCTGAGCTATCAGAAACTGGCAGCTCTACTGGCAGTTCATCCTTTTTAGTTTCAGATATATTAAAGAAGCATGTAATGGTTTTTCACCTTATAATATGATTTTCTGCATAGCTAATTATATTTATTCACTATTTTGCCACCTATATAAACAGTCTGTTGTCAGTGAAATGCTTTTAAGAATTACAGATTCATGTCAATCAGTAACACTCAAAACCTACTCTCTGAAGTTTGATCAAAGAGTAGTGGAAAACACACTTCAGGTGAATCGTTGAATTTTTTAAAAGCATGAAGTTGCAACAAAAACTAAGTTACAAACAGAACAAGTCAAAAGAGCTCTTTGAAAGCCGAGCCATTGGGTTAATAATGATGAAGAGCTTTTTTCATTTGAACAATGCTGGTTTGGTACTTACTTTGCTCTTTGCTCCTGAGAGAGCCCTGCATTGACAGCATCCAGGTCTCGGCGCTGCACCTGGTCCTGGCGCTGCTGGTGCCGCTCCCAGAGCAGCTGGGTCCTGGCAGCCTGCACGCGCTGCCGGTCCCACTCCGCATCCCTGCGGCGCTCCTGCTCTCTGGCTCTCTGCAGCAGGGACAAAAAGGCTTCATTTTCTCTTTCCAAGATGGGACTCCGTAGATAAAGTCTCATGGGTAAGTTTATCCAAACCTTGCTTGCCTTTATTGAGCACTAGGGGTAGCATTTGAATGGGGAGAAGGGAGCAAGGATTTTTAAACCATGCAGAAGCAAGATACGGCAAAAGAAAGAGCTATTCTTTTCTCTCTGTAAAACCCCAGAGCAGCAACAGATTTTTCTTTTAATTATTGTTAGCAAGAGTTGAAATTTCTTGAAGCAAGAGGTGCACAGACATCAGTATGGCTTACAATATGGCCAACTAAAATAGGGGAGCCACGAACACCACATGAGTAGAAACTTTTTTTTCCTCTGCCTCACTGTCTTGTCTGACACCCCACTGAACAGAAACAAAAAATCAGGCCTGCAAAAAACTTACTTTTCTTGGTTGTACTCATTTTCAGCCAGCCTAATGACTTGAATGGGTTCATTTCAGAGTAATAGGAGAGGCAGGGAAATGACAATTCTACCTTCAGCCTTAATAACAGTACTAGGTAAGATATAGTATAGCCTATGGTATTGTAAGGACTAAAAGATAAAATCAAACACTATTCCTTAGCTGCCATAAATGCAGCCTCTGCCCAAGGGAGGCAATTCACTTCCTACTTCACAATTTCTAGGCCTGGACACTCTTGATTTTATAGGAGCCTGGATATCTTCATTTTAACTGCCTGCTTCTATACACTTCTAGAGCAGCAACTATTACCATTGAAATTCTATTTTATAGCATGGCCTCATAGTTGTGTGGGATGGTAGAAATGAAACTCCATCACATTCTTACATTCATGCACTTTTAGGCCTCTGAAATATGCATGAGCAAGGTCACTGCACCTGCTCTATTTGCCTTGCTTGGGCACCCTTGAGAATGAGAATACTGCTTTGGCCTGCCCTGCTTTCACCTTCAGCTCCTGGATCTTCTTCCCCTATGGAGCAGCCCACTCCTTGCAGGCATCTTGTGCCCTCTCAGGTCACCATGAAGCCTGGCTCTCGAGCTGGGCAGGACTTTGCTGCTCAGCTGGACCATCATGGACCATGCCCTAAGATCCCCTTGGCCCTGGGCTCCCCCAGTCCAACTCCAGGGCTCCAGCCTACTCCATGACATGTCCAAGGAGCTTCAGAGGTACTGTGCCCAGTTAGACTGATTAAAGTTTGGGTAAAATCCAGATCAACGGAAAACACAGTCTCGTATTGGCATGTCCAGGGCAAACAATGGCATTTTTATTTTCCAAACATTGTCTATAGTATTATTACAACCAAGAAAACAAACAATGCATGAAAATGCATGTGAGCTTAAATACCTGTTTCTCCAGAACTTGTTCCTTTTGGAACTCACGAATTGCCATCAGCTGCTCCTGGTTCATCCCCTTCCATCGATCCACCAGCACACCCCCAGGACCGATTGCTTGGTCTGGGTTTTCAGAAAGGAAATCTCCTCGAAGGAGGCAGGTTATTTCATACATATCATCTTTCATTTTTTGAGCTTTTTCCAATTCATTTTTGTGATCTAGTTCAGCAACCTAAATTCAATGGAAAGAGAGAAGTGATGTTTTTTCCAAGAAAAATATGAACTAAGGGATGAAAAAATGTTAATGCATCATAAGAGATGATTTCCAACCTGCATACAGTTGTCAAAAGCATCACCTATAAAAAGTGATCATTGTCTTATTGGCCAAGATCAAAACCCTAATATCAAACAGTTCTTTAATGCTGTCATATCACATATAGCAAGTAAACTAGGGAAAAATAACTTTGTTTTATAAGAAAACACAGAATTAAATAAAAAATAATTCCACATTTATCCTCAAGTAAATGACGAGTATATATTTGGCAGACAAACACAATATGGAAGAAATTTACAATAAACATTTACAATCTCGAATCACTAGGCTTGATTTATATATTACACACTGAATCTAGGTGGAAAGCATGGGTAAGCCCTCAAAACAGACAGGAGATGTCCAGTTAAGGTCTGAAGATGCAGCCTTGATTCTCTTTGCTGATACAAAATGCAAACCTGAATCATATTATGTGAATGTATGTGAAATACTGCAGATCACAGTATGCATTTTCTATGGAAATCACTTCTTCTAACATTCATTACAAGGCACAGTCTCCTACTCAAAGGAAATTTTCCCTTTACAATACTCCAGAAATAAAATACAATCATCTTACTGCACATAATTACTTTTCAAAGAAGAATGAGACTAAATAAACTAATTTGAAGAAGAATGATAATGCTATGCATCTTTCATTTCTAATACTGTCTCATTCTTCTGTAATGCATAAACTAAACTATCTGGAATAATGCCTGGCTCCAGCATCCAGTGGACAGAGAGAAACCTTCTGCTTGCTAGGGCACACAGAGCACAGGGGATGGAATAGCCTTGGCAGTCAGGTGATAAGAAACCCCCATTGAAAACATGACTTCTCATTCTGATTTTGTGCATCTTATTTTCCTTCTCTGTCACCATATTTTCTAAAAAAATTACAAACCAACTAAGTATTAATTTACCTGGATTTTATTGAAATTTTTGGTAGCTGTACAAACAGCACGCCTGCTTTCCTCTTCTTTCCTTTGTTCTTCCATAATCTTTTGGTCAAGTTCAATCCTAAACTTGTCATAAAGATCATCTAAATTAGATTCAAATAAAACACAGTCAATATTCATGGATTTGATGTGCCATGTGAGTTAACCAGGGGAAGAGACAGGGGGGAGCTACAGATACAGTAGGCTGAGTAACTATTTCCAAATTCTACCATCAAAGCTGTCCATCTTGGGATTTCAGGTAATTAACTAATCAGTTTAATATGTAATATGCATTGTATTAATATATAGTATGTACAGTTTAATATGTAACCTATCTTGTCTAAACAGTTAGTGTTGAAATGAAAGAAATATGTTAAGTACTGCAGAAAATAATGTTTCATGACAAGCTGGGAAAGAAAAATCTGTATTATTTTTTCTACTCTAGCACAGAAGGGATTGGACAGTTTGGCCTGATGAAGCAAGCATACCAACTGGAGGCACAAACCAGAAATGAAATCTGGATGATATTACAATCACATGTTATGAAACAGAGACTTCCTAAGAAAAACAGTGAATACATTAAAGCTTATAAAGTAAAAACTGGTCTAGTATTTCTAAGTTAATATACAATACCATATTTTCATCAGATACACCACAACTTCAGAAAAAGAAGATTAAAGCTACATTATCTTTTTGGTTACCTGCCAATTTTTGGTCAGCTAATGCATTTTTTAAGTCTTTCTGTTGCTGAAGAGACCACTCCCTTATTTGCTCCTTTTGAAACTTCATCCTCTGCTCATGGTTTAAGTCTTCACCCACAAACTTCTGCATGCCAGAGATAGTACAGCGAGGATCATCATCTGAGACTCGAGCAGGTCTGTCCTTCTTTAGGGCTTGTGGATCATTCAGGTCAAATTCACGTCTTGTTTCTGGCCTCTGAAAATTCTGATGGAATTCAGTTAGAGCCCTATTGATGTCTCTGATTTCATTTTTCTGGCGTTCTTCTAGCAGACACATGAGCTTGTCATTTTTCTTCATGTGATGAGCTAGACAAAAATGAACACAATGAAACCACAAGTCTTAGGGGTCCATGAGTCATTGGACTGCTGACATAAGGTGAAAATAAAATTTTCAAGATGAATACACAGAATATAAGTTTTCAAACTTATGTTATGCCTTAGGAGAGTATTTGATCCATAAGTACCAGCCCAGCAAACACTCCAATGTTAGTAATATTTACTTTTGAAATATTTTCAGCTTTTTAGGTATAAATTATTTTATTTATTTACAATTATTACAATGAAATATGTGCAAGTGAAACAAATACAATAATAAGTACCAGCATTATGAGGTTTCATTTGGTGAAAACCTGCTACACAAGAAATGTACAGTAAACCAGTTGTTCCCACTTACTCTTAGTTTACAACTACAGCTGAAATACATTGTTGCTTGCCAGGAAGCAAGCCAAAATTGGGCTGCAATTGAAAGGAACATAGGTAGCTCTTCCATAGTTCCAATGATTTTTGTAACCATGGCACTAAAATCATTGGCTGGTATCAAATTTTGAACAGCTTAAGAGCTCCTGTCCATTTAATTGGAACTAAATAAATCCCAGCATTTTTAAGAAAAACATGCAACAAAACTCCCACCCAACTAGCCATTTTAGTTATTTAAAATAATTTGCTAGAAAATATAATTTCCTCTTTTGCCAGAAACTCCTGCTGGTAGTTTCCCAAGAGGCAGACCCTGACAGGTGTATTTTCCAGCCAGGAAAATCACAAGCAGCTGTAGTAGAAGCACAGCATGGAAGTGGCAGCTCCATTTCAGCTCCTCTTGAGGCACACAGAGAGCTCAGGCTGTGGGACCCCTTCATCTGATAGCCCAGGAAAGCATTCCATGCATGGAAGACCACAAAGAGTTTGAGGTCAGGGCACAGCATGAGATATTTGTGTGGCTGCAAGTTCTGACTCAGCAATGGCTCCTCTCATCACTTTACTGTACATGACTCATGCTTCCAGCAATAACAACCTAAAGAGGATTCCACAGAATCCATATATTCCATGGAAGAATGGCTAGATAAAAGATGAGCTCACTCTTCATAAAAGCAACTAAAACAGATTAGCCACTACTATACTGAAAAGGTATACTTGCCACTTACAATGGTAAGTATTTTTTTTTTTAAATCCTGTTGCATACTCAGGTTTTTAAATGATGCTATTGATCAATACCTTTTAAAAGAAAACACTGAAAATTCTGGCTTATCAGGCAATGTATCCCAGTTTAATCATGTCAATAGAAATCTTAAAATAACAAGGAGAATACATAGTGTGCCAATGTAGATGTATGAACATAAATAGGACATAAATTGGATGACTGAATTTAGAGAATATATGAAGGGATAAAAGAAAGCAAGAAATGGATTAAAACATTTCGCTATTCACAGAAATATCACAGTGTCTAGGAATTTACCAAATCTTTCATGCTCTGCTTTTTCAGCTGCTTCTTGAATTTTCCTTTCCTTGACCTGTGCATCCAATGCATCTTTATCAATCTATTAAAATAAAAAAAAAAAACAAAAGCAGCTCATTAGGAGAACAATTAAAACATTGTCAAGTTACACTGACTCACAGTTGTACAAGATAGATATAACCCCACTAGCAACAGAATTTATACACATTACTAATTTAGGTAAAACAAAATCCAGAAACAGAAATATTCTTGTTTGTTTGCTTTGTTTTAATAATGATAGGCATGTTCTTGCAGCTGATCAGATGAAAACACCACATTTACATGATCCACAGTGCTATAAATATTTTCAGCTGCATTACATAAAATATGTTTTTCCCCATTACAGCTGGCAATTTTATTTTATTGTTCTGCTTTCATTTATAAAGCAGGTAAGTGTTTTAACAGTAAAGATGACAGAAAGTTGTCATAGTTCATATTTGAAAAAATTACAAAGGGTTCACTATAAGAAAGGAATGGAAATGTTTCCTGTCTTATCAGAGAGATTCACATGGTTGCCAAAATGCACTACAGGACACAGGATCTGTGATGAGCTGCCAGATATGGAACAGAACATCCACATCCAAAGCAAGTGGGACCTGAGCAAAGGATAATACAGGGCACATCATCAAATGGGAGCAGACACCTCCATTTTGGGCAAAAGAATGTGGCCCCACATTTGTTAGCAGGTTGTGGCAAATTAATGGGCAGAAACATGGATTTTACTTCTTTTCTTTTCTTTCTTTTTTTTACAGACAAGTCACTTAACGTCCTAAAAGTTTTGTCAAAAATACAATGACAAATCTTCAAGAATCTGGTAAACAATTTTAATAGACTTTGGCAAAAACCTATTCAGATGAAAAGAGAAACAGATCACAGCTGAAAATACACATGGAAAATGCTGTAAAAGGACAATTGACAACAGCCATCAGCAAAGAGGTAAGTTTGCAAGCAAGGCTGAAACCATCAAGAATTCTATCCTCCAAAAACAGTGCTGTTGTGGACACTAAATATCAAGTCTTCCAGAGGTCTCATTGGGAAAGCCAAGCTGACAATACAACTACAGGAAATACTGCTAAGAGAAATTCAATACAAGTTCTTAGAGTGGCAATAATAGAGGTAGGTCAGTGTATCCACTTGTGTTACACTGTTGGCTCTGACCTCTCCAAAACACTTTCACTCGACACAAAAACATCCCTAAAACTGACATTTCCGGTCACATAAAACTATAGGTTTCACTTTGAAGCATTTAAATAAGAAATCTGTGAACAGTTTGAGGCAGCTAATTTCTAAACTAGTTCTATTTATGGATAAAGTTTACATGTAAATTGAAAGTAATTTTTCATTTGGATTACTCATCTGAACTCTTTAGAAAAATCAGTGATGTACTGAGGATAGAATCTTCAATCTGTAAGTGAAGAGGGCATTATCTTATTTTTACATTACTCAGTAACAAAACAGATACAGAAGTAAAAGTAATAATAAAACTATTAATAATAAAGAAAAAAAAAATAAAATCTGTGTTCCAATTCTGCTTTCCAGTACATTACCTCTATGGTTTTAAAATATTCAAACCCTGCTTTAGGATTTCTGGTTTCTAAGTCAAATATTGTCTTGATTTCTAAATTTCTCAGTGACTGCCACTCAGGTAAACTGGTCAGAGAACTGAAGCAAAGAATCTTAAAACCACACCGAAATATTGACATAGAATAGCTCTGTATGGATTTCCTGGCTCTTTATGGTTCAGACCTGGCCTAACTTCAAACCATAAGAACCAGATTCTGTCAGCATCATTGTTCAGGTACACTGAATGATGTTAAATCAAAATTCTCCAGATTAAATCTCCTTTATTTTAGGTGTTTATTTAATGTGAGCAGATCTATCAAAACCTGCCTGAGTCAGTACTACAAAATAAGGCAATTCTACAAAAGTATTTGGGTAACACCTTTGGATGGTGTACTCCAGTACAGCTCAATAAAATGCACCAGGATATGTTAGTTGTCAGCTATTTCATTAACTGAGAATTTATGGTTTGCAGTTCATTTTTAAGGCTCTAGAAAAGCCACTTTATAGAGAAAGTATGTTTTTCTGATTAAGAAATTTCAAGTATCTTAACCCATATCACAACTGCTAAAAAATGTTATTAGCTGCTTCCACTGAAGTATATTGTTGGTGAGTGTGGGGATGCTGTACCAGATGAAGACACCTGTCATGTTCAGTAAGTGGGAACTGCTGATTGCTCTGCAGATACAATGACTCTTGCATAAGAGTGAAAAGAATAAATTCAAGGCCCTGTCAGAGATAAGGTGAAGATATTTTTCCACTGACTTGAGACATGTTTCTGTACCTAAGAGAAGAGGATCCAATTGACATCTGTTGCAATTTTACCAGTTCAGTGAAGTCACCTCACAGCACTCTTCCCTCCATGCATGCTCACAACATCTTAATGAGGGCCTTTGGACATATCAAGAAGAGATTCAAAATACCATTGCATCCAAAGTCAAATAGGTATAGAGCACATTATTTCCTGACGTTCAGGATGCAAACTGCAGAGGGAACTCTGGAGAAAATCCACTAGCCTGAAGCATTCACATTTACACATCCACACCAAGAAAAATCAGACACAACAATTAATTACATATATATAAACAGGGATGGATCTGTCCTATTCGTCTGATGCAAAATGTGGGCTAATTGCAGGACACTTACATAAATCTCCCATAGCATCAATTCTAGCGAGGTCCAGGCAGAAAAAGGCAGTATAACAGAGCAGAGAGGTAAAAACCAATTACTTGCATCATTCAAATTTCATGAACTGACTCTGGAAGCTCTTGGCTTCCATCAGAGTATTACTACACAGAGATACAACACAGGGCTTGATCCCTCTGCTGTCAGGGGGCAATGACACCTTGCCCTTGAATCCAGAGCAGTGGGGTACAGATACACACGAGAAGCAATGGCCATAAAGGAAAACACAAGAAGTTTTGCCTCAACAGGAGGAAGAACCTCTTTCTATCGAGGGTGGCAGAGCACTGAACAGCTGCCCAGGGAGGTCATGGATCTTTACCCCTGAAGATATCCCAAACCCACCTGGGCACGTTCCTGTGTCACCCGCTCTGGGTGACCCTGCCTTGATAGGGGGATTGGAGTGGATGATCTTCAGAGGTCCCTTCCAACCCTAAATAGTCTATGATTTCTTTCACCGGTAACTTTAAAAGCAACTCTGAAAGTTGCATTTGTGCCCTCTCTTCCTGCTTGCTCCGCCTCTCACACACACGTGAGGAGGGGGCACTGGGTGCCGCTCTGACCGGCTCAGCCGCCCCTTCCCTCCCTGCACTCCCTCCCCGAGTTACGCCGTTCTCTTCAGAACCCCTGGGAACACCGGGGGGACACGGCGCCCTCCCTCCCGTGCTGCCGCCCTCACCCCTATGGTGCGGATCCGTGCGTTGAAGATGCGGCCCCGCCGCAGCAGCTCCCGCCGCCGCCGGCGCTCCAGGGCGGCGGCCTCCTCCAGCTCCCGCTGCGGCCCCAGCCCGCTCATGGCGCCGGAGGGAACACCGGGGCTGGACTGAGAGCGGTGGCCGGGAACAGCGGTGGCGGCCAGCCGGGACACAAGGCGGCCGGTCGCGATGGGAACAGCGGCACGGCGGCGCTGGCTAGGCGGGACACAAGGAGGCCCGTCGCAATGGGAACGGGAGCGGCGCTGGCCAGGCGGCACACAAGGCGGCCCGTCGCGATGGCACCGGCCAGCCGGGAGACAAGGCGGCCGGTGGCGATGGGAACGGGAGCGGTGGCACCGGCCAGCCGGGACACAAGGCGGCCCGTCGCGATGGCACCGGCCAGCCGGGACAGAAGGCGGCCGGTGGCGATGGGAACGGGAGCGGCGACTCCCGAGCGCACCGCGGGGCGGAGCCGCCGCACGAGGCGCGCAGGCTGTGAGGGCGGGGCGGGCTCGCCCTTCCTTCCCTTTGAGGCGATAAAATCGTCGAAGAGGGTTGTGGGGTGGGGGTGGTTTTTTTTTGTGGGTAAAGTATCGTCGTCGATTGTTTGAGGGGGTTGAGTTGTGGAGCTCGGCAGCTCCTGAGCCCAGCTCCCCGCGGGGATGGGTTACCTGAAGCTGCTGGTGGTGACGGACTTCAAGTCATGGAGGGGCCAGCAGGTTATCGGGCCCTTCATGAGGTTTAACTGCATCATCGGGCCCAATGGATCAGGTATTGTGGGTGGGTAGGGGGCAGCTGCTCCATGAGCTGTCAGCATTGAGGGCTCAGTTTGGTGGAATTTAGCCTCACGGGCCTGCTGAAAATCTCCTCATGTGCACCTGAAGGTGTGGCAGTATAAATGAAGCCTAGGAAGCACCTGCTGTGTAATTTTTAGTTGAAAGTGTAGGTTTTCTCCAGGATGGAAGGGCAGGAGCAGGCTGCGGGGGAGAGAAGTTCTTGGTGCTTTCCAGCTGAAGCAGAAAGCCTATTTTGCAAACAGCACAGCTTGTCTTGGCCGTCTCAGCTTACAAAAATCAAATAAAGATGGTTTTATTTTAATATTCCGGGCTGTACCAGTGGAAACCTGCTTCTTGATGGGAGTTTGCGGGTTTTGCTGCGCTTCCTCCGGGAAGGGGAAGGTGGCTCTGTAAAATGGCGGCTGCTGTGGAGCGGGGCTGACACCGACGACGCTCTGAAGGGGCAGCAGCACCGTGTGATCCCAGAGTGCTGGATATTCTTTGTGAAAAACGCCAGTGGCTTGTTTCTAAAATTTTTAAAGTTTAATAGTAATAAAATGGTTATAAAAATAGCAATGCAATTAGAGTAAAACTGGTAGTATACATAGTATCTTGTCTGGGTCTGTAACTGGGGTAGCTCCTTTGAGAAGGAAAGGGATAATCCCTTGATAGTTAATTCTCTTGGAAAGAAGCTGTCTTTGCAGCCATATGGCCACAAATGTTTGTGAAACTACATGATAGCTGTTTTCCACTGTCTCCTCTTTAAAATAATTTCTGATCAATTAATGGAGAACCTGCAGGGTTGCTACTGTCTCCTCTTTAAAATAATTTCTGATCAATTAATGGAGAACCTGCAGGGTTGCTACCTTATTTTGTGACTTTTCCTGCTCTGCACTTTAGAGGCATTTGATCAGTTAGTCATCACTTAGCAAATTTGTTTAAAATATTTATATTTTAAATTCTTTTATATATGAAATTTTTTACTAACATGAGAATGCTGACAATAATGCACTAATTTTGGGCAAAAACATAAGTGTTAATCTTGAGATTGAATGGGAGGTGCTATAAGCTTCCCTGAATAATAAGAGTAATACAAAAGGATAAAAAAAGACTGTAGGTGAGAACTGTTAGGTGTAAGCTTTGCATTGAAACTTAGTGTAAAAAAATTCAGGTTATTATAATGCCAGATAGGCTTATTTTCTGCTGCCAGTGTGTTACATCTTAAAAATGTGTTTATTATGTGCAACAGCTTTTCCTCGATAAAATCACAAAATCATAGAATGGCTTCAGTGGGAAGGGACTCCGTATCTCATCTAGTTCCAATCCTCCATCATACTTTCCACTAGAACAGGTTGTTCCAAGTCCCATCCAACTTGGCCTTGAGCACTTCCAGGAGTGGGGCATCCACAGCTTCTTTGAGCAACCTGTGCCACTATCCCACCACCCTCACAGAGAAGAATTTCCTCCTAAAAGAATAAAAAAACATCATTAGAAATAAAAATTTTAAAGGATTTGGCAATTCTCCAGACTCTATAATTCTTAATAAAATGTTTCCATTTATGTCAAAAAAATCTTATTGTTTTTAATTTTCAAGGAAAATCTAACATAATGGATGCTGTTAGCTTTGTGATGTGTGAAAAAACAACAAACTTGCGAGTTAAAAGTATTCGAGAACTTATCCATGGAGCACATGTTGGAAAACCTGTTTCTTCTACAGCCAGTGTGAAGATTGTGTATTGTGAGGAAGATGGGGAAGAAAAAACATTTTCAAGAGTTATCCGTGGTAGGTTCTAGATTCTGCTGCAGGTACTGTCTATTGTGTGATATATAAAGAAATGAAGACCAAAAATGCCCAATATTAGTTCATAGTTGGGCAGATTAGTATAGTCCTTCAGATATAAATGAAAAATATATTTGAGTTAATTAGTTTAAAAATTTAAGCAAGTTATTATATGTTCTTTGCTTGGTATCCATCTCTACATGTTCCTTGAGGTCTGTAAGAAATGGGGTCTGACACCTTGCTGCAGGTGTCAGTTCCTTTAGAAAGTACTAAAATTGAAAACTAGAATTTTTAAACAGAAAAAATAAATTACTGAAAGGAATAAAGGAGTAATTGAAATCTATTGTGCTCTCTGAGAAAATTGCTCAGTTAAATTATTCCACTAGTTTAACTCTTTTCCAGTGGTTTTTATTTTTGTTGTGGCCAGTTTCAGCAGTAATTTTTTTTCCTTTCCTCCTTCAGGTAGTTGTTCTGAGTTTCTTTTCAATGACAAGTCTGTCAGCCGATCTGCTTACATATCTGAGCTAGAAAAAATAGGCATTCTTGTCAAGGCCAGGAATTGCCTTATTTTTCAGGTGAGCATTCAAGGTACTTTCAAGGGAGAACAAAAGATTCTTAGGTTATTTCATAGAATACACAGTTAAATATTGTCTAGAAATGAGAGCACCCTTAGCCACTACAAAGCAACATACTTTTTATTGATTTTAGCAAGAAATACAAGACTACAAAATACACTTTATAGGGTTGGTATGTAAATGCATACACTAGTAAGAAAGAGGCTAATCTGGAAGAAGTTGAGTGCTTCTGTTATTCACAATATATATAGAAAAGTATGGGTCTGTATAAATGCTTAGTGTATTTAATTGCAATAGTGCTAGAAACAAGTAATTTCATCTTTAAATACTCCTGTTAGTAAAGACACGTGAAAATGTAAAGGATTTCTTTTTAAGTTTGAGGGGTTGAAAATTCTATTCAGCTATCAGTTTTCAAGAATTTAATGAGATAGGCCTTAAGCTTTTGATGAATAATACATTTCACAAAATCATGTTACTTAGAATTGCTGGCAAAAATTCCTAAGGAAGAATGGATTTTCCCCTTTTACAGAAACATATATAGAAATCTGAGTGGCTGGAAGGTGATCCTCATTTTGGCATGCAGTTTTTCCTCAGGTTTGAATCTAGATGCATTTTCACCATCTGTGTTGACCATAAATAAATACAAAAGTCAATCTGTACTATATGCTCCTGAATTCATAAAGCATCAGAATGATGTATGTTGCTGCATAATGTATGTATTTTCAATTTTGGTTTAGGGAACAGTAGAGTCAATTGCCATGAAGAAGCCAAAGGAGAGAACTCAACTTTTTGAACAAATTAGTAATTCATGGGAATATGCTGAAGACTATGAACAAAAGAAGAAGAAAATGCAGCAAGCAGAAGAGGATGCACAGTTTAATTATAACAAGAAAAAAAGTGTGGCAGCAGAACGCAAACAAGCAAGGATAGAAAAAGAGGAGGTAACTTGAAGTTAATCAGTTTTTTTCGTGCTAAGTTACCAGATTTTGCATCTCTTGTGAACTTCAATAGTGTTTGTAAAAAGCACAACAAACCAACAAAACAAACCCACAAACTTTTTTTTGTTTTAGTCCTGTAGTTTTTTTAGTATGGCATACTGTATAATAATTTAGTGTCATTTGAAAAGGTAGAGGGTTACATGTAATCTAAATAAAAGAAAGTATAGGTTTGCCAGTATAATTAATTAAAAGTATTGGCTTCAATATTTGAGTTTTATGATTAGTGACCATTACTGGAATTAGAGCTACTTGTACACCATCAATTTCATCACTTGAAATTAGACTGCTAATGATAGAAAACAGTTTTTATAAACTATACGTTAAATTTTAATGTTGGTAGGCAGAGCATTACCAGATGTTAATCAAGGAACTGGATGAAGAAAGGATACAGCTGCAGCTTTTTCAGCTTTATCACAATGAAAAACAAATTAGCTTTCTGAAAAACAATTTGGATGAAAAGAATATGGAGGCTCATATCAAGAAAGAGGCTCTTTCTACAGCAGAAGATTCATTTAAAGTCAAGAAAAAAATGTTTGGGATGCTAAACAGGGACCAACAGCATATGGAAAAAGAAATGAAGTAGGTTTTCCAATCAGATTCTGTGATAGTTGAATAAAACATTATCTGCACTGGGAGTTGCTTGGCAGGTGTGCATTTCCTGGTGAAAATGTGGTTGATAGTCCAGTGCTGTGGAAGTCACTTCCTAGCAATTCGCTGAAGTAAAATCCAGAAATTATTTTTACCTCCTGTACCATGCCTAGTTATATTTTTCATTATATAATGATGTTTGCTATTAAATTTTAGGAGGTTATGTTTCACTTCTGAATTTACTGTTTTCACTGGATGTAAAAAAAATCCTCTGTGGGCGTACCCACAGTGTAAACCCTACCCTTAGAGTTTAAAACTGATTGATTGTATATGTGGCCTGCAGTGGGGAGGGAGTGTATTTTCTATCTTCCCTCTCTCTCCTTT